CTTAAATTTTATGTCAGTAATGAAGGTGGACAAGGTCATTTGGCTAATGATGAAAGGGTTTTTACAAAAAATATTGTTTACACTGAAGTTTTGAGAACTTCGTGATATAAAATATAGAATTATTATTATGCATTATTATCATTTTAGATTTCATTCAGTTTGAATGTTTTTCAATATTTAATTTTTTCATTCGTTCATTTGCCAATTTCATTTCTTTGTTTCTTGCCTTCACTGCATACCGCGATTTGATTTCGTGATGGCAGAGTATAGGAATTTGTTTGATAATTAACACGGGAGCGAGATGTTGTGCAAAGTCGCATTGTCGAAATTATGGATTCAATAAAGAATAAACGCGATTAATTGAAAATCGAAGGATTTTTTTTTGTTTTTTTTTTTTTAATTATTTTATTATTTAAGGTATTAAAGAAAATTGAAGGATGAACGCAATAAATTGCGTCAGAATTTCGAATTTCTTTAGAAGAAGGTGCTGTTCTACAAAATTGCTGATTCCTATACTGATAACTTTCCGATATCACCTGAAGAACAAATGTACGGAGCAGATGTTAAGATAATTTATTTGTTGAAAAGATTTCAAAATGGAGCATCAGTTCGAAATTTTATCGGTATTTCATTCAAACAATTCATCATATTTCATATTTTATACTAATTATTTTCTTTTTTCGCAGGTGCATATGTGGTCACATATGACGACAAATTTAAATTAAACGATTTGATTGGATTGATAATACAAGGAAGAATTAAGCCAAAACCAGAAACACAACAAATAATTTTGCACGAGATGAAATTATAAATTTTAATTTATTTTTTAAATTGTTTTCTACAACTTTCTTTAGATTTTGTTCATATTTTAATCAAATTCATCAATAAAATTTAAATACTATTAAAATAAACAAATTGTATTTTCTATTGGTCGAATTTCGACCACTGGCGACCCTAGTTTTTATTATTTCGTGATGTAACTGTGATGGTTTTATAAGCGCTGGGTTCAGTTCTCCATGATTAATGTCCATCAAAAGTTCAATAACCTCAGATTGAATGTGAGAACATTCTTCTATCATATCTGATAACTGTTTTGCTACCATGAAAAAGTTTATAGATTCCCTATAGACCAGATAGGTTTCGTTCAAGGCAGTGTTAATGGATTCAACTCGTTTATGAATTTCATTGTATTGTAGCTGAATTTCTTCAAATGTGCGCATTAATATATTTACTGTTGTTTCTACTACCGATGTTTGTCTTTCAGTCATCTGTTTTGAGTTGTGTTGATTCTCTAGTAGATTATTTATATCTTCTTCCAGCGCCTTTCGGTCATCTTCATCCATCATTCCGAATAGAAGGTGATAAAATGAACCAATAAATGCCAATGGTGCACTCTTTCTTCTTTCTTTCACCGACCATATAAATAATTTATTACCATCGTTTATGGCTGATAATTTTCTAGACGTTGTATTCAATATATTCTTACATTGGTCAGCAAAATTTTGTAATTTGGGACAAATTTTATTAGCTTTGTTAAGTACATCCTCTGCGTTCTTAACCATATTAAAGTATGGTTGCATATCATAATACGTTATTAAATTCCAAGTTGATATTTCTGAGCTAACTTCTCCCATCATGTGCAAATATAACGTTGTTTTATTATTTAGTTCATGTACTGACGCAATTGATGATTTTACTGCTGCTTTCACTGTTGGTAAGACACATAACATTAGAAAATACAAGGTGGTCCATGCTAATTTTGAAGTTTTTAATTTTACATTTGATTTTATGTTTAAATTGCAATGAGCTTCTTCTGCATTCGCTTGCTGTTGGTCATAGATCGTGTCAGAATCCATCAAAATGCAAAGTTTATGAATTGGTCTTTTCAATTTTCCATTTTTTGTTTTAAGCTCTACAACTCGTACATTTCCATCTTTGCCTTTATATACTTCTGTTATTTTTCCTAGTGGCCAACTAGTAGGTGTGGTATTTTCATCTTTAATGATTACTACTTGTCCCTCTGTTAAATTTGTTTTTTTCTAAACCAGTTGTTTCGTTTTTGAAGAGAAGGGACATATTCCTTCTTCCATTTTTTCCAAAAATCTGTTTTAATTTTTTGTAAAAGTTTCCAACGGTCTACTAAACTTATATTATTTTTAACTTCAGCTTCTGGTTCATCTAATATTGAACGACCTATTAAAAAATGTCCAGGTGTAAGAACATCAATGCTGTCAATTTCGCTACTTATATAGCAGAGCGGTCGAGAATTGAGTACTGCTTCAATTTGATTCAGAAGTGTAGTCATCTCTTCAAATGTTAATTTTGTTTCACCTATTACACGCTTCAAATGATACTTTGTTGATTTTACAGCAGCTTCCCATATACCGCCGAAATGCGGACTTGCCGGTGGAATAAAATGCCATTCAATTTTTTCTGCTGCAAGAATTGGTACCATCGAAGTATTATTTTTGATCGCATTTCCAAACTCTTTATCTAATTTTTTTAATGCGCCAATAAAATTAGTGCCATTATCTGAATACAAATGTGCACTCTTTCCGCGTCTTGAAAAAAATCTTTTTAGTGCAGCTACAAATGCTTCTGATGATAAATCGCTTACTGCTTCTAAATGAATTGCTTTTGAGGACATGCATACAAATACTGCGATGTATCCTTTAAACGATTTTTGACCTCGACCTTTAGAACACCTCATATTTATGGGTCCTGCGTAATCGATACCCGTGTGTTCGAATGGGTGAGATATATTTATTCTGTAACTAGGTATATACCCCATTATTTGTTTAGCAAAATTTTGATTGAATCGAATGCATCTTGTACACCTTTGGCATATCTTTTTTATGGTTTTCCTCATCCCTAATATCCAAAAATGACGTTTTAAATGAGCTTCCATCAAGGACTGCCCACCATGTAGTGTTGATTGATGTGTTTGATATATAATTAATTCAGAATGTCGATCTTTAGCGAGAATTATTGGATGTGTTTGATTACATGTAATGTTGGCGTTTTGTAGTCTTCCTCCTACCCTTAATATTCCGTTTTTATCTATAAATGGTCGTAATTGAATTAGTTTGCTATTTACATTTCTTTCTTATTTCTTTCTTTATTTCTTTTGTTGAATATTTCGGAAGAAAAATGTGTAAGCTGGTGCAGACGCAATATTTTATTTCTTGCTTTATCTAGTTCTTCTTTCGATAAATAATTCGAATTTTTTGACTTATTTTTTAAACAATTAATAAATCGTAAAACATATGCTACCGTTCTTTCTAGTTTCGATATTTTTGATATTTTCTATATTAAATCGTTAAATATATTATTATCTGAAATTAAAGTCGTGATAACTGTTGACATTCCATTTAATTTTTCATCATTTTGCCATTCTTCCATTGGTTTTACTAACCATGCAGGCCCGTGCCACCATAGCATGTAATCTTTTAATTTGTTTGCGCAAATCCCTTTAGATGCTACATCAGCTGGATTATCTTTTGTTATGACGCCATTCAGTTGCTGGAATTAAATTTTTAATATCTGTTGCTCGAGTTCTTACAAATTTTTCTTTGTTTCTCGGTTCTTTTAGCCACCATAACGTGATTGCAGAATCGCACCAACAATAAGTTTTTGAATTTGTATTTAAAATTTTAATTATTTTATTCATTAGTTTTGCTAATAAATGTGCTCCACATAGTTCTAGCTTGGGAATAGTTTTCTTGTTTTTTATTGGTGCAACTTTGCATTTTGCAGCCAAAAGGTTTACATTTGAACCGATTTTGATGTATATTGCAGCTGCATAAGCTGCTTCAGATGCATCCGAGAATCCATGTAACTCCCAATTTTTTAAACTCGAGACTCCCATCCATCTTGGAATTCGAATTTGTTCCACTGTTTGTATATTTTTATTATATTTTTCAAATTCTTCCCGAATTTGTTCGTTTAAGTTTTCATCCCAATCATAATTTAATTGCCAAAGTTTTTGAATAAATAATTTTGCGATAATTGTTATTGGTGTTAACCAACCTAATGGGTCAAAAATTTTTGTATATGTTGACAATACCATTCTTTTAGTTATTGTCTCATTTGACAATATATTTATTGAAAATTGGAATTCATCCTTTATTGGGTTCCATTTCAATCCTAATGTTTTTATTAAATTATCTTCCTCTATGTATAATATTTTGTTTTCAGCTTCAATAGGAAGATTTTTCAAGATTGATTGATTATTGGACATCCATTTCCGTAATTTAAATTCAGCACTGTTTAAACATTTAAAAATTGTATTGATTTTATTTTTACAATCTAATTTTGTATCAGCGCCAGTAATTAGATCATCCATATAAAAATCATCTTTAATCGTATTTTTAATGGAAATGTCTCCATTATAGTCTTCAGCAATTTGTTGTAGTGTGCGAACTGCCAAAAATGGAGCCGATGCAGTTCTATAAGTGACTGTGGTTAGCTTGAATTCCTGAATTGAGTCTGTTGGTTTTTCTCTCCAAAGTATGCGTTGATAATCTTGGTGCTCTTCTGCAATTTTTATTTGTCTAAACATTTTTTCCACATCTGCTGTCACCACGAATTTCCATAATCTCCATTTTATTATTATGTCAAATATATCTCTTTGTAATCGCGGTCCGGTCATCATAATATTGTTAAGACTATTTCCATTGGTCGTTTTAGCACATGCATCAAAAACTACACGTAATTTCGTTGTTGAACTTGCTTCTCTGATTACAGCCTGATGTGGCATATAGTACAACCCTGCATTATGATTTTCTGCTTTGATCATATTACCTAAACGTTCGTATTCTCTCATAAATTCTATATATTCTGACTTAACTTCTTTCTTTATTTTCTTCTCCAAGTTGATTAGTCTGGCTACTGCTTGTTTTCTGGAATCCCCTAAGAATAATTCTTCTTTAAATGGAATTTGTACAATGTATCTTCCGTCTGAATCTTTTGTTGTAGTTGTTTTATATAGTTCTTGACATTTTTCATCTTCTTGTAGGTTTGTTTTGTTTTCATCTTCTATTTCCCAAAATCGTTCTAAATTCAAGAATGATATAGCTTGATTTTGTGTTTTGTTTGTTTGTAGCTATCCGGATATTATCCACCCGAATATTGTTTCTTGCCCAACTATATCGTCAAATTTCTTAACCCCTTATTTTATTATTTTAGGATATAGATCAGGATCTGCTAATTTGTAATTTTCCCAGATCGTGGTATCAAACATTAACGTTTGTTCTGGCAATGGTTTAATTAATTGTGGCATTACTAAGAATTCGCCTTTTACTATCATTTTATCGTTAAATCTTGATGTCATCTCCAAAATAACTTTGGAATTAGAGGTACATTTGACAGTCCTGATAATTGTGTTTTATTTTTAATTTCCTTTAATGATAGAATTTTAGCTTTCTCTTTGCATATCATTGATACTTGTGAACCTTGATCAACAAGAGCTCTTAGTAATTGATTATTCCCATAAGAAGTTTTTGGTGGAGATTAATACAGTTGGCAGCAATGTTAATTTCTTATTCTCTCTTTTTATTAGCGTTGACATAGTTTTACCTTGTTTATTAATTTTTATGTTGTCTTTTAGTTTATTCTGACTGTTGTCTTTGTGCAAAAGAGTATGATGTGCTTTATTACAGTTTTTACATCTGAACGACGAATAACATTTGCTGCGATTGTTATGGCTCAAGCAAATTTCACATATTTGCTTTTCGCGAATTACCGATGTTCTATGATCAACTGACATATCTCTAAATTTGACACAATTAAATCTTCGATGTCCCATCTGATTACAATGAAGGCAATGAATTTGAGAGGCTTGTGGCTTCTGAACATAAGTTGGAGTATTTATTGTATTTTTGATTCTCTGTTGAGCTTTAAGTGTCTGGAATTGCTGCTCTAAAAATTCTAATACGTCTTCTAATGATTGTACTTGTCTTGGTTTTTTAACATGTTGTTCGTATAGCTGAATACCTTCTTTGTCAAGTTTTCTAAGTATGATATGCGCAAATAATTCATCGCAACTAGAGCCCATATCTAAACAATTTTTAATCATACTTATACATTGCTTTGCTGAGTCATGAGCAATTCTTATGCTTGTAAATGATGTAGAGTTTATTGTTTTCATATCTAACAATTTATCGAATTGATTTGAAAAAAAAATCTCTTATTTTCATATCTTCTTTTTAAAGTATACCAAGCATATTCATAATTTGCTGATGAACCGTTTAGAAGATAAGATATTGCTGTACGAGCTTCTCCTTTTACATGTGATCTTAGGTAATCAAGTTTCATTGGTATAGTTAATGTATGATTATTATGGATTACATTTTTAAACAATTCTTCAAAATTTGACCAATTATCTATTTTACCATCAAAATTAGGTATAGATATGGGTGGTTGAGCTACTTGATTTTGTATAATGGGTTGATCAACTTGAGTTTTTTCCTTATTATAAAATTTATGTATAAATGTAATGTCGCTGTTAAGATTTTCTAACATATATTCCTTCTGAAGAAGATTTATTTGCTCGTGGTTTAGCTTTTTCAGATTTGACTGTGGTTGGTTGTTATAATTATTTATTGCCGCTATAAGGAATTCCGTCCTTTTTGCATCACATAACCCCTTCAGTAATTCCGAAGTGGCATTTTTTAATATTTCTACCACGTGTATTATGGCCTTCTAATTGCTTTCTTCTAATATATTTTCTGCTAACCTCTCTTCAGGTTTAGGGGGTTGTTTAGTGTCTATTTGCAATTCATTTTTTAATTTTCTATATTTTTCTTTCATTATATCCGGCCATTTATCATTAAAATATGGCATATCCACAATTCCTAATTGCTTTAACTTCCTATCATTTACATAGGAATTAGTCTGAATTTTATTTAATTCTTCTATTAACTCAATTTTGCGTTGTCTGGTATTTATTTCAGAAGCTTTCTTCTCTATTTCATCTACCGTATCTAAAAGATCTTTTTGAGTTTTAACTAACTCAACATGAGTATTTGTTGCTAATGCCATCTTCAAGGTATTAAAAAAATTATTTAAATTATTATTATTTTTTATTTATTTCTTTTTTTTTTCTTAATTCATTGATTTCTTTTTGCATAACCAATCTATCTTCCTTATCGGTTTGCAAATGTGGTTTTTGATAGAGAATAGCTATCTGTTTCCTTTTCTGGAATGCTTTTCCCGATCTCTTCTTCTTCTTTTGTTGTTGTTGTTTGTCTGTTGTTGTTCTTTTGTTGTTAAAAAATGTTTAAGTCAAGTGTCTTACCTCTGGTGGGTGATCACTATGACTCATATATATTTTTATACAATTTCCTTGGCTTCGAAGGACCAAAAATGATTAAATAAAAATAAGAAAGCGAAGTTTACCATATGAATATTCAGTCGATACTGATTTTATTTTAAAAAGTATGCTGTATTTATACAAAAATAATCTTAAAACTAACTTAACTAATTTACAATATTTATTACCTGTTATCGCTTGTTTGAGTGGACTGTATTGCATTACAAAAAAAAGGATACAATAAAATCCCGGCACGTAGGATTTTTATTATTTTACAAATATATTTTTATTATCGATACGGTGCCGTGTATCATAAAATGTATTTTAAAATGTGTTTAATATTCTACAATGTTACTATTTTAGTTTTGGGTTTTTTATTACCCGTGTTTTTTCCTTCG